CTGTCCAAAAAGTTGAGTTATTTAATAAATTATTAATGATTGCTTACAATATTAAATTTGCCTAAATACCACATGGAAACATAAAACCGAGTAATATAATATTATATTAAAATATATTATACTTAGTAGATTTTTAGAATTCATTTATCGATAAGTAGAATTATTTTGAACGTTTAAATGAATATTAAAAAAAAAACTTTTATCCTTATATAATTACCAAAATGCTTGAAATACTTTAATTGGAAAAAAATTATAGGAATGAGGAATTTAAGAAAATAAAGGATTCTCAAAGTATTACTGATAGAATTAAACAAGATATCTATGCTATTGGTTCAATAATGCTTAATTTGTTTTCTGAAAATTAGTTTAATAATTATAAATTTTCTGACATTAAATATTTATTAGATTTAAAATAAGACCCCCTTTAATTATTTAAAGAAACTTCTCTTCCATATAAGTGGCAAGATCTTATTAAAAAAACTATTACTTTAATGTTAGTAAAATAAGAACTTCCAAATTTGTATGAATATAAGCGTTAGTATTATAAGTTATAAAAATTTACTAAAAATATCCCAGATTTAGAATAAATGAGTCAAAAATTAAATTATAAAAGATATCAAGAAAGTTATGAAAGCGACCTTCGGGTTAAGAGTTCAGACTCTCAAGATTGTTAAGAAAATGGATCACTTCTTTAGAATCGTTAAAAAATTGATGAATAAAATTCCAGCTAAAATAATTAGGAATAAATTTAATCAATTCCAAACGATTATTCAGAGCCCTAATAAAAGATTAATTCCAATAGAAATAATAATGAATTAGATTCATTATAAAATTAAGAAGATTTTAATCAAATCTAATCTTAAAGTAGTTAAGAGAATAGATAGTAACATTTATAATCGTAAGATGCTTTTTTACAAAAAGATTTGAATGATTTAATTAATAAAATAAATGAATATGATTCATTAAATAAAATTCTAAAGTATTATTTTCTTAGATAATTAATGGCAGATTTACTATATATTGAGAGTCAACTTGCATTTAAAAATATATATTAGGATTATGAAATATTTGAAATTTCGAGAAATGAAATAAAAATTGGAAAACAGAACAATAATCGGTTTGTAGGTGAATTAATAAGATATTCAGAAATAGAAAATAAAATTTATCATTATAAAATTGACAAGAAAAACAAAAATAATATTATATATTATTGTTAAATTAAAGAAGCACAAGATAAATTAAATTAATAAATTTATAGAACTAAAGAATATATAGGTGAATTATCAGATAAATTGCTGCCTCATGGCTATGGAAAAATTTTTAATTTAAAAAAAAATTTTGTGTATGAAGGAAAATGGAAGGAGGGTAAAAAAGAGGATATAAATGGAATATGGGTAAGTCGAAATTGCTAAAATTTAAGATTTGGAGATATTTACAAATATGTTGGCTCTTTTAAAAATGGTAAATTTGATGGCCAAGGAACTGCGTATTTCAATAAAGAAAGAAATATATTAAGGAAAGGTTAATATAAAAAAGGTTCTCCAGTTTGGAAACACAATATTTATTTATAAAAAGAAATAAAATAAGAAATAACTGAAATAGAAGAAATACCTGAAATATAAAAAATACTATAACAATAAAAAATACTATAACAATAAAAAAAACTATAAAAATAAGAAATAGCTTAATAAAAAGAAAATAAAAACTACATAAATATAGGTTATGATTGTTTCTTATGTTGTTTCCCTTTATTATTAATAAGAAATATCTATAGAAGTAAGACTTAAAACAAATGAATCATTATTAAAAATATTTAAATAAAATTTACAATATTTATAGAATTAATTATTATATATTTAAATATAAATATATTATTATAATAAATTATGATAAAAAAAATAAAATATACAAATCTTTAAGGAAATAATAATTATACTATAAAAAAAGTACAAAAAAAGGTTTATTTGACCAGTAGAAGGCCAGTCTAAAATTAATAATTAATTAGGAGGATTGCTTTTAAATAGTTTCTATATTCTTAATTACTTTACTAAAATTAATTTATAAGAGATAAAGAAAAATGCAATCTTTAAAGAAGTTCTTTTTATTTATTTATAAAAGGAGAATAATTTGGCATATTTTATGGATGACTCTAAATAAAATAAGATTTATGTAATTGAGTAATGTAGTCTTATCGAAGTTTTTGAATAATCATATCTTAAGTTCTCTTGGTAGATCAAATATTAAATTGTACATAATTTGAATAATAAAGAATAATAGGGCTAAAAGAAAAAAATACTAAAAAGTAGTATTATTTTTTACTATTAAGTAGCTTAATTGTTTTTTAATGTTATAATACTAAGTTTTATTATATTATTCTTTTTTTCAGAAGTATCATATAAAAAATTAAATTAGGTTAGAATAAATAGAAATTAAAAGGGCATAGTGGATATGTCTTCACAGTAAATTTTTCTCCTGATGGTACTACATTGGCTTTTGATAGTTGAAATAATTCTATTTGGTTATGGGATGTATAGTTTGAAGTGGAAAAGAAAAAATTAGAAGGACATATTGGATATGTCTATTCAGTTACTTTTTCTCCTGATGGACCATTTTAGCATCAAAGTAGTGGAGACAATTCTATCCGATTATGGGATCTTTAATTTTAAGATGAGAAAACAAAATTACAAAAATCGAAGTGTTAAGTTTTGTCATTATGCATATCATATGATGGTACAGTTGTGGCTTTTGGAAATGGAGACAATTATATTCTTTTATGGGATACCTTTCAAGGAAAAGAACTGAAGAAAGTAATAGGGCATTGATATAGTGTTTTGTCAGTTAGCTTCTCTGGGAATGGGATTACATCAGCATCTGGTAGCGAGGATAAATCAATCCGTTTATGGAATATAAAATAAGGAGCTGAAATACATAGCCTAGAAGGATATAGCGATGGGGTCTTTTGCTTAGAATTTAATATAGATGGGACAATATTAAAATATAAATATTTAAAAGATTAACGAAATTATTTTGATGATCAAAAGTAGTCCTAATATATCAGTATTATTCGCCACTGTTTATCAAAAAGAAAAAGAAGGTACTCATCCTTGTAGAATATTTCCCATCTCCCAACTTTTTTACAATTTAAATTTTCCCTTTTGAATCAAAATATTAAAAAAAAACTAATCCATTTTATTTTGTTGATTAAAATTTTTTAGATAGTAGAAAAGGTTTTATGGATTGTAAATGAAAAATTTGTTGCATGACCTTTCATATAGAGAAGAAATCAATCCTACATGAAAGTAAGAAGGGAAAAAGGAACAACAACCTATGCTTGAACCTTCTTTATGCATTCCATTTTAATATGATTAATTATGTAGAATCTATTGCAGTGATGAAAACAATTTTAAGGAGTTGTAGTAATTGTTTGCTTTTATCTTTTAGACCGAAAAAAATGGCTTTTACATTTTAAAGAACACTTATGCAAACATAAAAGTAGCTTTGGTTGCTTCTATAAAAAAATTAATTGAAAACCTGATAAAGAATTCACAGTTGTTTAAATAAATTAAAACCTTTAATCTCGATGGTTATTATGTAAGTATATTATGAAAGAAAAGACCTAAACATACACTTGATCTACTTTATTGTAAATTGTATTAAAGAAAATTTCTATAACCATGAAAATAACTTTAAGTATTTTTAGTAAAAGCTCCTTTTTTTAATTTTTTAAATCCCTTTGATTATCAAAGACTTTTTAAATTGTTATCAAATTTTTTTAATGACTTAGAAATGATGCCGAATCTGTTAAAACTCCACCGCTCCATTTATAATTAATGTAAAATTCATTACTTATTAATTATTTAAAAATTAAAAAAGAAAGCGAATTAGATCTTTCTAAATTCGAGCTTTACTGATTTGGATCTTATTATTGATTCAAATAAAGAGTATATAATCACAAAGTAGTTGCAAAATGAAATATCGTGATTAATTCCAGTTATTAGATAATTATTGCAATAATGATGAATTTCTGGTAGATGTAAGAATTTCTCTTGATATTTTAAAATTAATAGTTTACATACAATAATCTTAATTAATTCTTTCCATAATCCGATTATTTTTCACCATTTTCTGAGTATCTCGACTTTTTAAAGAATTTATCCATTCCTATTAACTCCCCTTTTAGCAATCTTCTGTTATTTCTTTCTGTGTTTCCCAAACTATTCAAAATATTTGATTTCATTTAAATTATTGAAAACATCCGGTTTCAAAGATAACAACTTTTTCTAGATATTGCTGTTTATCCATCAACAATGTATATTATCTCTTATTTATTAACAAATTCTATTAAGATTTATTTTTTAACCATTAAAGTGTTAAAAAAAACAGTATTTCTTATTGGGTTAAAGATTTTATTTACAAGAGAGAGAATAATATTCAAGTTTTCATATATGCTATTTTATATATGTAAACCATAAACCATTACCTTTGAAAATTATAGAGTATATTTTCAGAGCGATGAGCCAAGATGTTTCAATAGAAAGATGAAAGAAAATTAAAATAAATATTTTAGAGAAAAAAGGAAAATTGTGTAGGATCTTTTCCAGTTGATACAATAGATCACCTGTCTCATAAATTTAAGGTCTACTATATTACCTGCTGCAATTTGTTAAAAGCTTTTAAAAATGATCTGAAAATTTTTTTATTATTAGAATTGCTTATTCCAAAATCAATTAAAATTTGTAGATTAATCTTCTAGATTAATTGAATTTTATTCCAATTAAAACAAACGACCTAATGGACAATTTTTTTAAACTTTTAATTTTGTATTTACAAGTCTTCTTTTTACATTTGTTATTATTAAGTCTTCCTCAGTCAATTCTTTTTGTGCTGAAAAATTAAGCTATTAATTTGCAGCTATAAAATTTGTGTGTTATCGCTCAATTTCTTAAAAATATTGATTCCAATTATAAATAAAAACGTTTGAAGGACTTCCTTTATTTGATAACTGGTATTCAATTCTTAAATATCAGCATATTCAGCTATACATGAATTACCTACTCTTCTTTTTAGCTATCCTGAGCAAAAAGAAATTATTCAATTTACAGTTTTGTACACATTCATCTGATTGCTTCTATTTTTAATAGAATTCTAAATTTTTTTAAAGTTACAATTTCAAGCTCTTCAACATAATGCAGAATAATTGTAATTGAAAATAACATATTATTTGTTATCCAAATAGATTCCTAATATTATAAAATTATTTTCATTAACAAGTTTTGTGATTATGCTATTGGAATCATCATCATTTAAATGATACTAAAATTTTATCCCTATAAAATTTATTAATAAGTATACAAATAATTAAGAATAAATTATAAAAATTTTTAGTTATAGAGATGATTAATGGAATCTGAATTAAGATCATAATCTCTATAGCAACACTTTAATTAATAGGTTCTGCTTTTTTTTTTTTTTAATAAACCAATAATTATTATTAATTCATTATAATTTTTATCTTAGAAAAAAAAAGGTTCATCATTCTAGATATTTCAAATAAGGATTAGTCCTGAATAATGAAGAAGATGAACCAAAAATGTAGAGATTCAGACCAATAATTTAAATTTTAAGATTATAAAAAAATTAAGATAATTGTA